ACACCCTCATTACCCCCCCCAATACCCCCTTTATCACCCCTATACCCCCCTATACCCCCCCTATAACCCCCCTATACTCCAACCCCAACCCCAACCCCCCCATACCGCCCCCCATCCCCAAAAGTTTCTCAGCAGATATGGGCTGTACTCAGCAAGCGCAGTACAGCCCCTAACTCAGATTTGAAAAAAAATCAGTGGATGGTTGTTTTCTGACTGGTCGGCAGACCGCTGACCGGTCGGCCCTACTGGTCGGCTGCAATACGGTCGGCGGTCAGGGTTGGCGGTCGGTAGATGCAACCCTGCTATCCATGGTAACCCCGGACCTGGACACCGGATACTTCTGGACTGTCTTCCGGACCAGTGTCTGGACCGGTCCGGACTGTCCGGTGATCCGGACATCACCTGTTACATTCTGTGACTTCACACGGGCCTTCACAGGCCCGACATATCGGTTCAGGGGGTACCCAGGCTGGCCTTGCTAAAGGCCAGGCCTTTTTCTCCCGGTAGGCCCTGTTAGGCCACCGGTTGGCGCCGCAGCGCCCAGCAGACCAGGGTTGCCCCAAACGACATGACCGTTTGGGCCTGGCGGCGCTCTTGAGGCTGCCGCCCGCCGGTCTGAGCTGAACGGTCATTTCGACGGTTCAGCCCACGGCGCAGGAGGCCAGCATCGAGGCCGACCGGCCGCCGGACGGTACTTAAGCCGGTCCAGCGGCCATTCTCACAGGTTGGGAACAGCAGCAGCAGCCAGCGTTAGCGCTGCGCTATTTCGGGTTCAGCACAGCGCTAAGGGCTGCAGCGCTAAGCTTAGCGCACTGCCGCCTAGGCGGAGCGAGGAGGAGCGAGGACTTACCTGGTAGACAGCGGGGCGCCATAGCTCCAGCGACTTGCAGTAGGCCTCCTGCCACAGCCAAGGTGCCAGCTTGCCAACTGCAGGTTAGGTGTGAGGCGACTCGCCATCTTCCCAACTCTCTTCTTCTTCTTCTTCTTCTTCTTCTTCTTCTTCTTCTTCAGACTTATTCTTCTTCTTATTATTATTCAGATTGGAGACTTTGATACGAGTTGGACAGAGATCAGTGTTTGGAATTCGGTGGTAAGAGGCTGTGATACTTACCGGATTCGAGACTTGGGAGATAGTTGGGATTGATACTCGGCGGCATCACAGATTGGACACCGGTTACATTAGGACTTGTACCTCCGACATTGGTGACTTATTGTCCACGACATTCTGATCTTTGTTCAGTGACATTTTGGACCACCATATCGGTGACCTTCTGGATTCTATCTCGGTGACATCTGGCGCTGCCTATACCTCCCACCTCTATCGTCTCTCCTCCCACCTTTCATCTGTGTATGGTTGTACGGGGCCTGAAGCATCATCTATGATTGGCTTCAGACCCCACCATCTCCGATTGCTTGTGTGTTGAGTGATATCTGGATGAGTCCAGTCTATGTGAGTCAGTCCATTTCTCAGACTTCCGCTGCATACATGCTCATCCTATATTGGTTGATCTTTGGTTCTGCCCATACTTGTTGAAGTATTCACTAGTATGC